TGTGATTTCTCGAATGTTACTTTTAAAATTAAAGTTTTATCATTCGGTATTATCATTAAAGTAGGCATGAAAAAAAGAAGGAAATCAATTCCTTAAATTTTCCACAAAAAATAATTATATTTTACATCTAAAAATTTTACTTCATATTTTTATAGAAGTAGAAAAACGTAGGAAAAATACAAAAGAATTTTAAAGTATCTCTATAATAAATTTAACAATCGAAGATAAATTACGTACAATTTATTGTACGTATTAAATTGAAAAAAAAAAAAAAAAATAAGAGCAGAAAAATCTACAAAAATCGATATTCATCTCAATATGAATTGATAAGTAAATAGGATATTGAAGGAATTCTAACTTTCGTCAAGTAAAATGTAATAAACGAAATTAAACACTGTCTAGTTTCGTATGCGTATCAGTTCGTATAGTTCAAAATTATTCGGACCCTGTACTGATCCTAGTTGCCATTCGGAATTTTCACGAATGTTATCTAATATATAAAGCGAAAAATGTTTTCGCTATTAACGGCCGACGGATTGATCGGCAAAGAAATCATTGAGCCTTACAATTACACGCTATGACGAGACGTCTTGAGAGTTTCGTGAGTTAAAACATTGGTCGGTTCTTTTTTGTGTATTTTTCTTTCGTTATTACTTTGCTTTATATTATTACATCTGTGTATGGACGCTTATTAGATTTTTCTCTTATGCAGCTTCACCGCGTAACTCAAAGAATTAGTTGTATATTCATGTATACGTTTCACACACGAGCATGTAGACGCGTGAATACGCATGTACAGAATATTTCACTGATTATTATTATGTCACTTAAAACGTAACTTTAATTTTCAATTAATTCATCGATTAATTAATATTAATCGTAAACAAGATACAGGCGTGTATATTTAAAAAATTACGAAATATAACAATAGTTTTATTCAGCTATAAGAGAGAAGAAGATAAGATCTAATAAGTAAATTACATACTTAGAAGAAGAGTGGCAAGAGTAGGCTGCAAAGAGAAACAGGTCGATATATATTGTCAAACTTTACTATGAATATAACTAATAAGAAGATGAGATGATTTTCCATGCGATTTTTCATTTACTAATTGATGATTAATTTTTCTTTTTTTTTTTTTTTTTTTATTAAGAATCATATGAGAAAAGATTTAAATACATAAAACAATTATTGAAATCGAAGATAATTTCGATCGATAAACATTAATTTTTTCTTCTTCTTTTGTACTAGGTAAGTGAAACTTAAGAAGAAATTATTTCAATAAGAAATAATTAAAATCAAAATTAAAACTTTATCTTTGTTCGCAATAATAGTAAATATTTTTCACGCTCTAAAAATTTAATAAGAGCAAAAATTAAACATTGTTAATATATGCTATCAGTGAAACAATTTGTACAAACGCGTATATCCGCTTAGATATATATATATTTAGCTATTCGGTAATATATAATATCACATGCAATTTAAATAGGATTGTCAAACACGTATCCGTGCAGATAGTGTTCCTATTCCTAACGATACTGCGTACAATAAATATGATACGAGGTAATCACTGAATACGTGCCACATGCACATATGTATAATAATAACTTCACGCGAGAAAGCATTATTCATGTCCTTTTTCTTTTTTTCGAACACAGGAAGAAGGGGGGGATTGTGCACTCAATTGGGAAACAAACGCAAGTGACGTTACTCTTTGCTACCTAATCTCTTTTAATCCCTCATTTTTTCAAGATTCGGGAAATCCGCAACTCGCAAGAAATAATTTTCCACGATTCCGGTAAAAGTTTTATACTCTTCCATCCAATTTCTAATCGATAAAGAGATTCCTAAGTTTTTATTTCGATCAATATCTATATTGAGAACCTTGGTCAAAAGTCTATTTTTTTCAATTTTACTTTAAAAAGAAAAAAAAAAAAAACTAAGAAATGTCAATAAAATGCAGAGCGAGGATGAACATTCGAAACGAAAATTATTACACGATGTTTTGAGATCGAAAGGGGCGACAAAATTTTTTTTTTTTTTCTCCATCAAAACTACAAGAGGCTACTTTAAAAATATCGAATGTAATAGCGTAGATATTTCAGATGCATGATATTGACAATTGTTCGTGCTAAGTACTATCTGTTAAGTGAAACGCTTATTAAGAAACGATTCGTTTATATCGCGGGGTATACACATCGATGCTTCCTGAATTTTTCCGAAGAGAATGTTTTTTTAATCGAAACTAGAATCGAACGCGTATATATTTATCTATTGGTATCACATTCCAAGTGTTATAAGAACAAAGGAGCGGCAAAAGCGATTGATTGAAGCGGGAATGAGAATAGAAATAAAATATTGACATAGAGAAGAAAAGAAAAGAAAATTAACGAGTAGACCGCGTTCACCGTATCGTTGCCGCGACAGTAAGTTTTTCAGCGTTAAGTTATGTACAAATTGGCATTACATATATCACAGTTATAATATAAACACGTTGACAAATGCGGAAGGAAATTGTGTAAAGCACTGCTTTGCTTTCTTCTTCAGCCTGAAATATCACGCGCGCCTCGAATACTCGCTATTTCTAAATGTTCGCTATTTTCTAAATTTTACGCATAAGCGACGATTAATCTTCTTTTCATTCCGTAAGAATTCTTCTTAACGAGCGATTCGATAATTCTATTCTATCCTAACAGACACGTATTTTTTGTATTTTTTTTTTCTCTTTTTCTTTTTTACATTTTTCATTAAAGTTTCATTAAGCCTATACTTTCGTCATTTCCGGACGCATATTTATTAATCATTTGTCTCGTTTGATATTTTTGAAATGGAAGGAGAGAAAAAAAAAGGAAGAGGATTAAACATCATAATGAACACCACACGCGTTTCTCTTCCGATTCTATTCAACTTTGCCTTCGTCGTACTTTGAGAAGGGAAGAAAAAATAAGGGGACAAAGAGGAACGCAAACGAAAAGATATTAACGTAAGAGGAAAGAAGTTAAAATTATACAAACGCACACCTCTGAGATTAGATAAAAATAAAAGGAAAAGGAAAGAAGAAAAAAAAAAGAAAGGAAGAAAGAAAGAGAGAAAGAAAAATAAAGAAGAAATTGTGAAGAAATGCAAGTGTTCCTTCGTGTTAATGAAAAATGAGTTTTTAAGATATGCTGATATATACGCGGAGACAATGCTCGACATGGTCCCCAATGATTATGTAAGCGCTATGTAAAAGCAGTCTGTATGTATATCTTGCGTCTTTTACAAGATTGGAGTACCGGACCATTCTTCGAGAGTGGATTGTCTTTGCGGCCGAGCAATTTCGTCTAGATATTTCAAGTTCGAAGACAAGAAAATCAAGAAGATATCTTCGTAATTAACAATCTAATTTTTGTCTGCTAAAAGTGTCTAAGCATTAACAAACTTCCTTATCTTTTCGATATTACGAAAATGTGTTACGATTAAAACGATTAAAATACTCGATTCAAAGTTATTAGATATTTTTTTGAATTAACAATTCTTTTAATAAAATTTAAATTTGGTCTTTTAACTTATAAAAATAAACGGATTTTATTCGATGAAATGATCGATTGGTCATTTTGAATACAATTTTGAGTAACCGATATAAAACTTTTTAAAGTTTTAACAATTTTGCAAAACGTATAATAAATATATATATAAAAAAAAAAATTCGTCTGTTGTCAAAAACTTAAAATATTTCTTCATTAATGATGATCGGCAACAAAGACAGCCAGAAAATTCTATTCGTTAGAAGTATTACTATTACTAAATTAAATACTTCGCTAATAATATTTCTCATCTAAGATTGATATAGAAATACCGAGGAATTAAACCGAAACACCATTCTTCCTCGTTTTATCATTGGGAATCACTACGTAGATCATACAATTCAGACGGAAATTGACGGATATATACAGAGATGATTATATTAATATTTCATCATTTGTTAACCGATAATCGATTTTACGAGCATTTTTAATGATAATACAGGCCGACCGATTCAATTAAATATTTATGAAAATTAGACCTCGAGACAGCAAAAATGTTGCATCAAAATTTTTGTTTGCCTCGTCATCCACGCGTCTACGCGTTGGATATTATATAAATTTACATTTCTTTTTTCCTTTTTTTTTTTTCTTAACTTTTTCTAACACAAAGTATCTCTTGTTTATCGTTGTGCGAATATATGTTTTTATAATTTCATAGGAATACGGAAATAATCACCGTTGAAGTCTCGTCAAAAACGTAGAACGAAACGACGTTTGATACTTCCGTGGAACTCGAACTTGCACGCAATTATATCGCGATTTTTAAATTATAATAAAACGCAAATTCGTACGAACATTCGTACATACGCACATTGGAACGTTAAAATATATTGAGCCTAGGAATAATTATCAGGTGTGAAAGAACTTACTTAATATTGAGTAGAGGAAATGTTGAACTTTGCAAGTCGGCTGTTATAGAGCTAATCAATTTGTCTAGAACGTATAATACGTAATAATGTAGGTTATGTAGGAATAGTTTTGTGTGTTTTGCGTATGCACGTTAAAAATTCTCTATATACCTTATACATGTTATACGTACTTGCACATAAATCTATATACGTACACGCACACACATAGACATGTATACGTATATGTACGTATATATATGTATAATGTTTCACATATTATGTGTAATTATATACACGAATATTTTATATTTTATTTTGCAATTAAATGTAATGCGACTATGTACTGTGCGTAAATGTTACGCCAGAGCACAATTTTGTGTATGCGTGTAACAAGTATGCTTTAGAAAAGTCCCTCTCTTTTAACAAAGATTTACGTGTAGTATATATAGTGGACATTATTTGCGTTATCACATATATATATATATATATATATATATATATATATATATATATGTATATATATATTATATATATATTATATATATTATACATATATATATATATATTATATATATATGTATATCTATATATTGAGTCAGATCAAAGGCTACACATATTTTCACAGATTGAAAAAGCTCACCCGATCTGCGATTTAAGTTACCGCATCGTGTTTTGAGTTTTTCGAAATATTCGAAGTTTTCGAGATGTACTTTGACTACCTGATACATCTTGGGTTACACACTTAAGGAAGGCCACATTGAACTAGTCTAAGAAATTACTGCCTAGCACTCTGAACAAATATATTGATAAAATTTAGCCTATATTATCTAGCCTATGACACATACGCAAACGAATAATAGTCAGAGATTCTTGCGAACGTTCTTTTTTTTTTTTTCATTTTTTGTTTCTTCTAGTATGTCTGAGCAATCTTGTTCTTCGTTTTTTTCTTTCTACGAGTATCGGATCCTCAATAAATTTGAAATAATTATCTTTGGCATTGTGAAATATACACAATACATCCAAAGATAAAAGTGTTGACGTTCGTAAGTTTCTTTTTCGTTAGTCTGTTAGCGAAGAACAAGCAAAATCACTTGAAAGTGCAATAGACAATTGAATCACAAGTATTGGATTCCAAGAACTGACACTCCCAAGACTGTACTATATAGTAGGGATAAAAATATGTACAGTAGAAAACTATGGAGTTACTATTAACTTGTAAAAAGTAGATACGCATATGATTTTCCTATTTCGGCGGGAGTACGTATACTTCTCCATATGATGCTTTGAAAATTTCGCAATTAGTGGGCGGCATTGTTTTGTCTCAGCGATAAAATTATGATAAACGCCAGCAAAAGCTTTTCATTAACGTAACGCGGAATACGTAAGTAAAAAACTGCTGGACTCGATCTATGTTTTTTCACACAAAATGGAAAAGCGGTTTTCAAAATCTTGCTAGGTACTGTTTGAATAATCACCAGCATCATGTGTTACCTGACTTTCATTACGTTTCATCACAAGAACTGGATCTTTAGAAGTTTCAACAACTTTCTTTTCTATTTCCAAGTCATACAATAATGTAGCTTGTAATGCGTTATACATACCAGTTCTTGCGTATCGAGATGCCTTCGTCAATTCATATACACTGGCTGCCAATGTTAATATATCTATAAATAAAAATATTTAAAAGTAATTTTTTCTTATTATTTTAATAGTACTTAAATAAATAAAGTACTTAAAAAAATAAAAAATAATAACTTATAACTTTTTCTAATTAATATAAAATAATTAAAAAAAATTATATTTTTTAAAAAATTGAATAAGCTATGAACATACCATTATCATTGTATACAAGAATGCATGGTGGATTTTCTTTTTGGCGTTTAGTAGCATTTGCAACTTCACGTTTACGACATTCTTGGACAAACTTTATTGCTTCCAACCAATATTCCATAGCTTTATGTACACGTTGATTCATCGTGGTCCCTCGTAAACGTTCCATCTTTTTAAAAAAAAATATTACTTTGTTATTTAATGCAATTATGCTTTTTTATCAATGAAAAAACAAAAAAATTTATAATAATATATTACTTTTGCAATCAAAGTTATAACACGTGCATGCTCTCTCAAATAATCAATGACTAAACGATCAACGCGTGATGGATTTCCTTGAAGGCGAGGAATAGGTATATTGTTTGCACTCGTCACTCTTTTACCAGGAAAATGAGCAGCTAATCCCGCTTCGCATTTTTTTCGTTCCTTTTCTAATTGTTTAAATTGTTCATAAGTTTGTTCCAATCTGAAGTGTAATATACTTGAAGGTGCTGTACGTCTAGAAGTTCCACTTCCATTTCTAAGGCTCAAACCTCCACCATATAATACGGAAAATAGTCGTGGAACTGGAAGTGGTACAGGAACTGGCATTACTGGTGGGAATACTCCAGATCTTACTGTACCTGGATTTGGTACTATTCCTGAATTAAAAAGGACATCAGCAGATGGAATACCAGGACTATTTTGTATTCTTGGCATATGATGTCGTTGTTTCATAAGATAATTAAAAGTATCTTTGTTCATTGAAGACCCTGCTATTTGATTAGTCAAATGACTTACAGAAGGAAAAGCTATTTCTTTGGTAAGATCAAATCCTTCCACCTTATATGTATTAGTATTATTAGGCTGCTTCAAATCCTGATAAGATGTGGAACTTTGTGGTAACATTTTTAAAGTCTCGCCGTTATTGGCAGTGTAATGTTGATAATTATGATATCCATATTTTGCAATTGACTGGTGAGTATTACGCGAACTTAGATTTTTTGGAAATCCAATTGGTGAATATGTCTTAGTTTCAATAGTCTTTGATTTCGGACTGATAATTTTCAGTAAATTATTATCAATTTTATAATCATTATTTGTAAGACAATTTTCATTTGTGTCTAAACTATTGATCGATGATGTGGTGAAATCGCTTACACCTGGATAATAGTCAATTAATTGTTTGTATTCTTGGTCCACAGCTTGATTTAATTTGTAGCTACGAGCTTGTTGATGCAAAAATTGTAGTTGTTCATTTGGTATGGAGATATTTGTCATGCTTAATCTATTTGAATCATGTAAATCTTTATAATCATTAGCATTACTCCGCTGTATATTATTTCCAAAACAATTATGCAAATTTGTATCAGCTGGAGAAAAATGTTGTAATGGAGAATTTGAAAGAAAGCCAGAATCAATACTCAAATCAGTCATTGCTGAACTTGGTCTATAAGTTTGATTATTGGCAGTCATGCTGTATAATTCATGCATAGAAGGTGTTGGATTATTATATGTATTAGTTCCATTCTGTCCAATATTATTATGATACTCTAATTCATTTAGAGTTATTGGATCAGGAGAATCTAAAGCCAATGTTAGAGCCATATTAAAGTTAAGATCTGGATTTGTACAATTTTGTATTCGTTGGTAATTTCCAAATAAGTCTGATGTACATCCTGATGTTGATAAATTTTCTGTCCAATTAGCAGACTGCTTACCTACATTTGTCTCATTTGTAGTTGTTAATAAATCGTTGCATATAGGCATAGTATTTCCACTAATACAACAATTTTCATTACTTGGACATAGTACATAAGATTGTGAATCAGATGGATACGTATTTGAATATGCACCAATCCCATTGTTATATAAATTCCTTGATCTGATACTTGTCCTACACATGTATTGAGACTCAATGTTTTGAGCTCTCCACAGAGAGTGTTATAATTACATTCAAGTTTAGCATTATTAGAAATATTATTTTGTAATTTATTAAATGTCGAATGCATATTGAAGCGATCCATAGTAAAATTAGGATCAGTATTACTTTCCATTTTATTTTCCATAATACAGGATTGAGTATCTGAATAATATTGAATATTGCCATTATAACTATTATTGTGAGCGTTGTCACCAACTATTGAATCATCATCAAGAATTTTTGACACTAAATCATTGACCATAGGATTATTTAAATCCTGACTATCTTCATCTTCTACATTCATCTATATGAATAAGTGAATAAAAAAGATTAAATTAGTATCATAATATAATGTTTTTTTCTTTTTCAACAAATTTTCAAATAATATTTTAACTATAATATGTTTAGTTATAAATTATATTAAAATTAATAACCTAATATATCATATATATAACATCTTATTTTATTAAATTTAAATTTTTTCTTTTTATATATATAAAATATATAGATTTGTGTAAATAAACACATATTTCACAGATTATGTAAGATTAATTCTTATATTTAAGTGAAATAGAGTGAAATGAAATTTCTTACATGTATATAGCTTATTCAGTAAAATGTCATATTTAACAAATGAAAATATTATATAGAAAATAAGCAGGTTTTTAATATTGAAAAAAAAAATAATTATCTTTATTGCAGAAAATTAAAAATAAATATATAATAATAGTTCAATATTTAAATTATATTATATATATATATTATTATAAAATTTTTAATATAATATAAGTTATTTATAATAATATATTTAATTTTATTTAATTTGCTATGCATAAAGATAGTTTTTAATAAAATAATGTAAAGTACAACAAAACAAAAATTAATTTTATTATTAATCATATGAAAATTAAGGATAATTTTTAAGTTTCTTACATTTTTTTGTGTATTGCATTCCATTAAGTCATAGTTCCAATAATTATATTCTGTATTACATCTATCAGCTGGATAATTGTTTCGTGGTTCCAACATGTTGATGTTGCGTTCAACCACGTTATTCTATAAAAAAAAAGTAGAACATTTTGCATTTGAATCAAATCTGTTTAAATTTCTAATTATATTACAATAATATTAGCAATTACATAAATATTTGCTCTTTTATTATAATTATTTCTATTATGCATTAATTATTATAATATAAATGTGTTAAAATTTTTATATGAAATAATATGTACTATAAAAATATTATTAAAATATATTAACATAATGATTAAAATAATTATTATAATATTAATTTTAAATTTATTAAAATAAATATAATTTTTGACTCCATTTCAAGAATAACAATTTCAAATTTAAATCTATTATGAGTAAGTACAGTTACGTATCGTATACATCAGCAATAAACTAAAATCGAATAGTTTCTATCAATTAAATTATTAAGTAATTATTATTTAAATTATGATCTTTATATCATACGTTAAACATATCTTTCTCTTATTAGATAAATAATATCTTTTATACAATAAAATTACGCCTTTTTGCACGTTATGATGGAATTATCGCATTATACTTTGCAGTAAAGGAAAATGAACGTCACTTTTTCGGCAATGAAATCAGAGACGCGGATGCTTACCTTGCTAACAGTAAAACCATTGTTACCGATAATTGCAGCCAAATTGTGCACCTCGGACAGAGCCATTTGTTAAAGATCACTGAAAATCACCTCCACTCCTTGCCATTACCCTTTCACTTGTGCGGCTGTCTTCCAGCAGTATGCACACCCACACCAACCTACACTTTCTTTAAACGTATCTGGCTAACACCTCACAACACGACGTACATTAACGATGCTACTATAAGAGAGTAGAATATAGATAGAACTATGGTTACTATACCATATATATAAATATATGGTATATTATGCGATCATATAGCTAAATGCGTTAAATGTGAATATTAAATATTAAATGTATAATATTTTTGATTTAAATTTATTTAGCTTTTACATTATATATTTTTTATCAACTAATTTATATATATGTAAACGTGAGTTTCCAAATTCTTTAAATATAGAAAACGAGACATCTTTTCCCTAGAAAAACAAACCTGTTATTACTAAAGTTTTTAAGCGCGTGCGCAAATGCGGGAGTATTCGAATAACATTATGAATTATAGAATATATATTTACATATATTCTTAATGTAAATATATTAAATGTATAAAATGAAACAATGCTTAAAATTACATTTTTTAAAATTCATTAAAAAAATTTGTATATATAAATCATATTTTACATGTGTATTTTATTGTATATAAGTAATACATTTTTTTTCTAACATTATTTATGTTATAAAATATGAAATAAATAATATGAAATTTATATAAGAGAAATATAAATTACAAATTTCTTTTAATATACTATTGGATCTGTTTGTACAGTTTTACTCTCTACATCAGTTTCCTTGTTTAAGGAGCAATATTTATTTGCAATATTAACTATTTCTCGTAATGTAGTATTTTCTACTTTTAAACTACTATATATTTCTTTTTCTCTCATTTCATTTTCCTCATCTAAAGCTACTGCAGTTTTCATTACTGCTGCCATTTCATTTATTTTTTCTGCTTGATTGGTTATTATCTGTAATATATAAATCACTTTTAATAATAATAATAATAATAATAATAATAATAATAATAACAATAATAATAATAATAATAATAATAATATTGTAAAGTAAAATTGCAAGTAAATAGTTCATTCAAATAAATAATATCAATTATAACTCAAATGTTGTTTCTAATTCATATTAAAATAATAAAAAATCTAAATTAGAATAAAATATAAGTTATTTAAAATAATAATATAATAAATAATGATAAAATTGAATTATAAATCATTACAAATATGTTAAAAATATTATTTTTAATTAATTTATACTTACATTAGCATATTTTGCATTATGTAATGACGAAAGATCTGTTTTACAGAGACGTAATAAAGATGCTGTTTGTTGCCTATATTTAGACATAATTAATTCAAGAGCATGATGATGATCTTCTAATGCTTTCTTTAATTCTTTATTTTCAGCTTGTAGTTCTTGTAAATGTTTGACCTCTCTTTGTATTCCTGAGATTAATTGTATATGTGGTCTTTGTTTTGCTTCAGTGTTCAAAATTTCTACTTCTTCCTGATACTATAAATATATAATAAAAAATGGATTTAAATTTTAATTAGTTTCATAATAAAGAATTTTAGTAATATTTTATTTTTATATTTTTTAATTAAATTATTGTAAATAAATTTACCTGTTTCATGTTAGCAATTTGGCTACAAACTGATTCTATTTCACTTATCAAATTATCAGCTGTATTTTCATGATCTGATATTTTAATAACTAACTTTTTAGCATCCAATATAATTTGTTGAAAAGTTAATGACATCTATAAATATAAGATTTTAATAAATTAATTATTCAAAAATTGAATTATTTTATCAAATATGAATACACATTTATAAAATATTTTTTATTCTATATCTGAAATTTAACATCTATCTATAATGATAATATTTATTTTATATATTTTATTATTATATATTCATTATATATTAAATAAGATTAATTATTTTACATACAATATAAAGATTAATTATTTTATATACAATATTTCATTATATTATAAATTAATTAATAAAATTAATAAAAAATAATTTAAAAAAATTATAATTTTTTAATGTTTTACAATAAATTATTTTACAAATAACAATTATATCATATTGAAATAATGAGAAAGAAGAGAGAAAATTGAAGGAGAATTCAATAATTTTATATTAAAATAAAAGAAGTTACATAGTACATATAAATGTATATAATTTAAAAATTAATATATAGTACATATAACCTTTACATATAATATTATAGTGATTAATTTGCATAATTTTATTTGTTATTATTTATATTGTATTGTATAATATATTGTTCCTAATTATAAAAATAATTTATAGGTATATTTATAAAGATTTTTAGTTTAGAAATTATTAAAAAATTGACGATGCATCAAGTAGGTTATACATATATCTAAATTGTCAAACATATTTTATGAAAATCTTAAAGAAAATATTTATTCACTTACCTCTTTTCAATAAAAAACTTTTATAATACAACTTTCACAAAGTGAAATTTTATTTGCTAATTCATTCAATTTTAATTGAACAACGAATGAATAAGATCATGAGTTATATGAAAATATCTTCTTTAGTTATATGATAGGTTTGTTTATTTTCAATCACTTCCGTAAGATCATTGGTCTACCAATCGCAAATCGACTGTACAAATTGATATATATATTTTATATTATAGATCAATTATACAAATTATTATATTTTTTATATCTATAATAATTTAATTTTTTGTTAAACAGTTGAATCGATTATAATGATGTTTTTAATGAGTTAAACTTTAATTTTGGATTTTTTTTTACAATTTTAGATTTTTTTTATAACTTTTCATAGATTTTGATAAAAAATATTCTTTAAAATTTTATTTATTCTTGAAAATTATAATTTTAAGAATCGAAATTTCTTAATTTGAAAGTTATATACATATATTTTAGTCTCATATTTTTAGGGTTTTTCACGAGTTACATGATGCCATCTTGGATTTTTAACCAATCCGTTTAGATCATAGAAACAGTATATATTAAATTCAAATTATTATTTATCAAAATTTATAAAAAGATATTAAAAAAATTTTCCGAAATTTGCAATATCTGAAGTTAAAATTAATTCAATCAACAATTTAATTAGATTCCATTAGATAAACCTTATTTTTATATGAATAATGATATAATAATATGAATAATATAAAAATCATTTAATATTATATAATAAAAATATTTTTATCATTTTTGTACAAATTTTGGTATTTCTAAAAATATTAAAAAAATTTTTATAATTATAAATATTAGAATCATATAAAACAAATATAAGGATAACAAATGATATGTATTGTTATATAAAAAATATAAGGATAACAAATGACATTTCATTTTTCATTAATCTTTTATAATATTTTTGTATTTGTATCAAATCATAATATTATTGTATTAAAATAATTTCTATTTATGAATTATTTGAAAAATAGTTATTAAATTATTATTATTATTAAATAGTTTAATATAACAAAAATTTACAATTTTGAATACTTTTTATATTACTATCTTATAACACAGGATTATAAAAATATTAAAATTAACAGAAATAATAAAATTATAACATATAATCTTCATTTACAAAAAAAAATAGATGCTTCTAAAAAAAATTCTGAAAATGATTTAATTTAAATTTAAAAAATAATTTAAATTTAAAAATATTAATGTCAAAAAATATCAATTTCAAACATCTATGTTATAATTTAATTATATTCTGAATATTATTTATATTATTAATCAGTTATTTTTAGTTTTTACAATTAATTGGCAATAGTTCAAATAAATGTTATATTTAAATAAGACGTAGAGCATACCAGAATACAGAGAATAACAATCCTATTTTAAATAATCGAATACAATTAGATATTATACAATTTGTAGTTCGTAATTAATCAATGTGTACATAAACATTAATTGTATTTGCCAAGGTAAAAAATACATTTTGTAATTTACTACATCGAATAGAAATTAATTCTTTTCAATTGTTTAAACCAATCAGGATTTTCTTTGGTTATGAATCGGTACATAATATTATGGAAAAATAATAAATATGTTATGTGGAAAGACTTGCGATAACGAAAACTAAGGTTGGCACACGTAAAACACCTGTGACGATTAGCTCAATGGAACGTGGAAGGGATAACATGGCCACCGCCTGGTGACGTTCGTTCGCCGTCGCCGTCGCGATATCAAATGCTCCTGAAAACAGCTGGTGAACATTTATCGGTATAAGTTCCGTAATTTTCAACGCGGAAAATACGTATTATATTCACTGAAGAGTATAAAGCACGATGATGAACATGTGGAAAGTGCGAGAGTTAATGGACAAGGCGTAAGTACAATTAAGTTAGTTACATGCAATCTAACCTTGCTTTTACTTTTTTCGACGCATTCCACTCTACTTGTTTCGATACGCTACACAAGTTCTCGTTTACCTTTAACTACCTTTTTGCATTGATTGATAGTCACTTTGTCTACATTGTTTAACTCATTATTCATGTATATGAATGTATATTTCATTTAAATTTCATTTTTTTTCTCATTAATCTAAAGTATTCACAGAAAATAAATAAAATATTCTTTACACTTATTTTTAAATAAATTTTTCTTATGATCCTTTATGATAGAAAGACATATTTTTTTTACAGATTGTAAAAAAATAATTATTTAATTAAATATAAAATTTTATATAATATAACATCGAAGAAAATAACATGACTATAAAAGGATAAAATAAATGCTCTTTTTAAATTATATGATCTATTAATAATGAAAATAATTTAATAATATTCGTTTATCTGATATTTTTTTTTGTATTATTATTATTATATATTGTAGTATTATTAATATATTATCAATGTAATATTTTTTTATGAAATTTATTTAAATATATGTAACATATTGTTTATATAAATAGCAATATAGTCTTAAATACAAAAACGTAAACTTTGAAAATTATTAGAATAAATTGTATTGCTGGAAATATAACGCTAATTATATAACATGTTTACTTTTGTATTATAATTATTTTTATATTTATAAATTATTTCTCTAATTACATTTTTTTTCTTATTTTTATTTTATTTTTTTTTATATTTTTATATTTCAAATCGTATTATTAGTTAATTTTCAATGTTATTTGTAATTTTTTTTCCTTTTAATAAAAACATATAAAAACGAAAGTATTTTATAAAAGAAACTAGAATTAACTGATAAGCTATTCTTAACAATACCCTATCTCACAAAGTTATTCTCCGTAATAAATAAATTTACTCGTTGAGTAAGTGTTTGCATATTAAAAAAGAAAATAAATTATATATAATTGATAATATATTGAAAATATTAATTTTTTATTGTATGTAAAAATAAGAATTTATTTATTATTAATAGCACATATATTAATTGTTATATGCAATTGTATTAAAATGCGTAAAAAATTATTGAGTATTGATAAAAAAGTATTTTGTAATAAAATCATAGCAAGATAATATTTAGTTTATATTATTTATTATTTACTGTTTATATTTGTTCCTGCTTAGAAGAATATCAAATTCTTGTATATAATTCTCACACTTGTTCGCTTTTATATATATATATATATATACCGTTATACTAACGTAAAATATTTTTGAAAATTGAAAATATATACTATATTCATAAATACTATATTTCTTACTTATTTTTTCTTCTTTTGTATTTACGAAACCACGAAATCTAAGTATCATTATACATCGGTTCTTATACATCCTATATAATGTATGCATATAAGGTTATTGTTGAATTGAATAGGGGTTCTCAAACATTAGTATTATCTGTATATTTTTATTTCATACTATTTTTTAATTTTTTATTTTACTTTTGTTGCATTTAATATACACATAATATACATTATTATGTTCACAATACATTATTATCGTTCATATTTATTATTTATTTAAAATAATAATTACTAGCTAGTTTATATCATCATGAAAAACGTGAGATACTTTAGCATCTGTAAAAAAAGAAACGGAAGAACACTATTATCTTTAACAACTCTTTCTGAATACAAATGCATATCGTAACCATATATGTGGAGATTTTTTATTCCAAATATAAATGTTATTTAAATAACATATTTAATAACTTTATAAGTTCAATTAATTTTATAAGTTCGATTATTTAAAAAAAAAAAAATATATATATATAAAATTTTGTATATAGAGAATTTTTCATTATAATAAAAAATATATTAAAAAATATATTAATTATTCTGTTAATTTTTTTCTAAATTATTACATTAAATATTTTTTTAAATATTTATTAATAATAAACAAATATATTATCAAATATAAATCATCGCTATTTAAAAAATAAAATATTTTAAATTTCATTCTATAAAAACATAAAAAAAAGTAATCTTTTTATTTTATTACTTTCTATACTATATTTAAAAATATGATAAAATTATTTTTATGTGTAATAAAATTGTAGATTTTAAAATAAACGCTATTTTATTATTTCTTATCAGATAAATATCCGAAAGAAGATACAAATATATAGAGTATTTAACAGCATATTTATACAATAATCAAGGTATTGAAATAAATTTATACTGCATAAAAAATTATTGATAAAGAATGCAATTTAATTGGATCAATTTCTTTTTTTTATCAATTTCATTTATAATAATGAATTAAATTTTGTGAAAATATGTTTTTTTTGATATAAATATATATATACAATTATATAAAATATTACAGTTATATAATAAAATATATGATAAATATATGATAAAATATAATTATTGAAAAATAGAAATAAAAGTATTATGTATAAGCAAAGACATAAAAATATTGCGCAATTAATAGGTATCCATACGATCCATATAAATGTAGTGAAAGTATTTTTATTTTAAAATTATTAATATCATCATATATACTATTTTATTTAATCTATTTGAAATTGTCATATATTATAAAATATATATATAAATGATAATTTTTATATTAACGAAAATAAAATTTTAATATTATAGGACCAATGTAGTTATGAACTACACGGAAACAGAGGCCAAAGTTCGAGAAGCAACAAATGACGATGCTTGGGGTCCAACCGGTATTTTTAAATAATTTAATTAAATTAATTTTTTATATTTTAATTTTTTATCTATATTGAGAAATATATATTTAAATTTTATTCTTTTTTTTTTAATATAATAATTATTTGTAATTGTATTATAAAATTTATTTATAAAAATAGAAAACTTTGAGATAAAAATATGTAAAATTATTTATAATATTGTATTGATATATAAAAAAATATTATTATATAAAATAAAATTAATAATGTAATTTGAAAATTGTTAAAATTTTAAGAATTAAACTAAATTATAAAATTATGATTATCATTATAATAAATTTTATGAAGATAAATTAACATTTAATGATCCGATTTTATTTATTGATATTGATTTTTATATATATAAAGAATTCTTTAAAATTCATATATAAACATAAATCGGTATTTTTATTTATTTTTATATCAATAATTTAATAAATAATGAAATAATAAAAATTTTTGAATGATAATTTTTTAATAATAAGTATTTTTGTTTTTAAATAT